TTTATTTTTGTAGTATATCTTCCATTCTATCACATGAGACCAAATAAAACGAGAATACAACCATTAAAACCTTACGAAAATATACCGCTAAGGGGAGGCTAATGACTGAGAAGTGAACTCCGTTATTTATGGTCCGATTTCTTTCATTTTTTGTGTACGTTAAGAAGCATCTTTTCATCATACATTGCCCAAGTTTCAGTAAGATAGTCCAACAAACAACTGAGGCCCAATTCCCTAGCTCAAGAGCAAGAGCCTCCCCACCAGTGTCGGTTAACCTTCCTTGAAGCCCGCTCACATCTGGAAATTTTGCTCGCGTCTGGAAGCAAAAAAAAACGACTGAGCAGCTGCTCGTTTCTGGAAAAACTCGCACTTGGATGCACTCATAAGTAGAGGTTCCACTGTGCTTCTTTTACAATCCTGTTGATAAATGTTAAACGACCATGGTGACCTAAAGCCAATAATAACCCAACAAAAAGCCGCAGTAAGAATAATCACTAAATCCCATCCCTGGCAACACACCCCCCCACTCTTCATAGATCTAAACTTACTCCCTGTTCAGTACATCCACACTTACTACTGTGCAATCTACATCTACAGGACCTTAAATTCCAATATTAACCTTGACCTAAAACGCTTTCTTGATAGTTGTGACAGAACCCACAGGCACAACACCAGACACAAACATCTCTATGACATTCCCCGTGTCCGACTAAACCTTTACAAAAATTCAATGTATGTCAAAGGCCCTAAAATCTGGAACACCCTACCTGAAAATTCCAAAACTGCAGACACATTCATCACCTTCAAAACTACCATCAGAAAACATCTTATCTCCCTGATACGCCCTGTCAACTAATAATACGAATACCACCTGGTGGTTCACACTTACACTCACTCACCCATTTGACCATAAACAGAAATATCAATCTCAATCTCAAAATAATGAATCTTAACTAGTCAAAAGTTGGCCTGTGATACTCCAATACTGAAACTATGTATAGTGCCAAAACAAAAGCATTCACATTGCTAAACTCACAACTAGTATTTAGTCACTTAGCCATAATACCAACTTATCTCATAATTTTGTAACATTTTAAACCTAAGATTTAATATAAGTCTGCCCGAAATGCCTAGCCATGCTAGGCGTTCTAGTGGTACACTCTGTAATTATTATTTTACTACATGTAAACCACACAATAACCAAATTCTGTAAACTCAGCATTGTAATACTTATAGAGAATAAAGTTTGAATTTGAATTGAATTTGAATAAGTGCCATTCCTAAATCGTAACATTGCATAAAATAATCTTATTCTCAGACATTATAATTTTGTTTAACTTGCCATTCAAATAATCTTACATTAGCTATTCAGTGGCAAGTAGTTTTATGTTCTAGCTTTACTCTTCCTGAAATGATCTACATAACTAGGAGCTTTGTGCTTTGTTAGTACAGTGGACCCTTGGCTAACGATATTAACCCGTTCCTGAGAGCTCATCGTTAGACGAAATTATCATTAGCTGAATTAATTTTCCCCATAAGTAATAATGGAAATCCAGTTAATCCGTTCCGTACAGCCAAAAGTATTAAAAAATAATTTTTTTTTCGTTAAATATACATTTCCCTACAAAGAAAACAATGGGACATGCACAATAACTATATAAATAAATGTTAAAATGACACTTACCTTTATTGAAGAGTATTGATGAGTGGCTAACCCTCTGGGGTTAATTGTTTCTCGGTAATTGTTTCTCGTTAAGCCACACCAACAACACTCTCTCCACATCTTTTGAGTAGTACAGCTGATGGCAGTGCAGCAGCAGCTGACCATGGTACGATAGTATTTCTCACCCTTTTTACCACAGGGTTGGCACTATAAGCTTTCTTTGGGCCCATGGTGGCTTATTTAGCAGTTACAATCACTATAAACAATGGAATAATGCAAAATGTATCGAATGTATGCATGAAACCAGCCACCCTGGCTTGTAAACAATGACAGCAGGGCAGCTGAGGCGCTCAGGCTGGACGGACAGGCTCGGGACGAATCACATTGGGCGAGTTTTTTATCGTTAGCCAGGCCAAAAATTTTACGCTCAAACGCTTCGTTGGGTGGATTTAACATTATACGATGCATAACGTGTTATGCAATGCGCTCGTTAACTGAGGGTCCACTGTATTACTCCTAGTTTATGCCTGCCCAAAATGCTCTGCTGAACTATGGCCTTGTCTATGTAAGAAACATCTTCAGTGTTTCAATCTCTGTAACAAATTCATCATCTTGGGTAACAAATTCATCATCATGGATTATTTTTTAACATATCTGCTGTCACCCACTGAGACAGGGTCCTTCCTCCCCAACCCCAAAAAAAAGGAAATATATTCACCATTGTTCATTCAGTCAGTGTCTTGGTTGAAATGTGCTGACATTCCAGTTCAGATGGTCCTTCCAAATGCAACATCCACATCCCTCTTTCAGAGTGCAGGCAATATTTCCCACCTCCAGTAGTCAAGTTCTGCTAACTGATTTTACTGAATCTCTTCATGAATGTTCCCTTGCTCATATTCCATCAGTCTTTAATCAAACCACTTGCTTCCACTCTTATGTAATACATTCGCACAAGCCTGTTGAATGTTCAAGCCTCTAGCACTCAAAATGAAAATCAAATGAAAATGCTGGCCCACAGGTGGCTCCAACTTTATCCTGTTCCCTACTTGTATGTTTCATATCAATAAAAATGCTTTCAAATGAGCTGATGTAGGTAACAGCTCTTAGCTTGTCAATAAAGTTAGGAATCCTTAACCTGTATATAGCTTGTCAATAAAACTAGGGATCCTTAACCTAACCTTGTCAAACCCTGTGTAAAAAAAAAAAAAACTCAATTACCCTCTCCCTCCACACCTTCCTGAATTGACCCCTTCCTCTCCTTCCCTCCTAGCCATCCTATTTTGCTTTACCTTCTCTAAATGTCCTAACCACATGCACCCCTTCTGATTTATACTTTTGCTAACTCCACACCTGAAGAGTAAGAAGTCACAATACCATGCCTAGAATAGCTCACCAAAAAACTTCACTTAGGTGTGGAACCCTATGGTGACATTTCAGTCGGTCTTGGAACATTGTCAAGTCACAACTGTGTTAAGAAAAATAGAGAAGGCCTAAAGACAGTATGGTTGGGGATGGGAAAATGGTGGTGGTGGCAGTGTCAGTGGTAGTAGCGGTAGAGATAGCAGCAGCGGCGCCGGCGATGGCGTAGCTGCACTGTAGCAGCAGCAGTAGTAGTAGAGGAGTAGTAGTGGTAGTATAGCATCAGCAGCAGTAGCAGTAGTAGTAATGGTAATGGTAGTGACAGAATTGTGGTAATAGCAGCAGCAGTAGTAGCGGTAGAAGTAAAAGCATAAGAGTGTAGTAGTAAAAAAAATCATTGTAGTAGTAGTAGTAATACAAAAGAGCAAAATAACAGAGGAGCAGTGCAGAGCTGCTGGCCCACACCAGACAGGACTGGTGAATGAGTAGCAGGAGTAAATTACATTTCAAGGCAGTGGAGATTGAAGTATCTCATCACCTGTACCCGAGATGTTGAGAAGAATTGCGGTAGGCCAACTGCCCAAGCTTGGAAAGAAAGAAAGAAACAAGAAAGAAGAAAGCAGAAGACAGGGAAGGCAAAGAAAATGCTGAAGACAGGTCAAGAGGAAAGGAGAGGAGGAGGAGGTAGAGGTCAGGTCAAGTCATGAGTGTTTTTAAGTTTAAAATTCTCTGCATAATATTCACACCCCACATTGCACTCAGACTGACATCTTCATTGCCTCCAGCTGCCGCCTCGCTGCAATGTATAAAACCCATGCCTTGCACTTGTATAACAATGTTGGTTCCACTAGACTCTGGTACATTCCCCTTCTCTATAGATCCAATTTTGTCTCCACAGGTGCCTAAGTGCATCACCCACTTTTTTACCACTGTCTTTCATTGGCCCATCCACCAAGTCCATGGGAGTGGACTTCTTCACAAATCTGAACATGCTTATTTCCTGTTCAAGCTCCTTCCAGTCTGATATCCAACCTTTCATTGTCTAGATTTATTGTTACTTTCATCATCTTGCTCATTCCTATGTTCACTTTTAATTTCACCTTTTATTTTACATAACCCTTAAATTCCTCCACCAACCTTTGCAACGTCTCTTCTGAATCTCCCAAAAGAACTGTCATCGTTAAAGAGCAATTGTGAGAAGCCCCATGTTGTATTAGATTTATCTTTTAATACTACATCTCTAGCCAACACTTCCTTTGCAGCCCCATCTATAAATATGTTAACCCTTTCACTGTCCATCATGTAGATCTACATCTTGAGCTCAGATCACCCAGATAAGCTGAGAGTGGAAAATTTGTCGTAGACATGAGAGAATGGGTCTGTGCAGTGAGTGTGTACAGTATAAAATTAAAGCCTACCCCACATGGTGCATGATGGGAAAAGCAAAACTCGAAGCTTGTGTTTGGTTTAAAATAATGAGGTGTTTTCTAGAATGGTTTTACTGGCTGTTTCTTGGTATCATTTGATAGAATGCTTGTATCTGCCTACATTTTTTTATTGTCTTCTACCAGTTACCCTAAATACCATCATAAATGTAGTAAGTAATAATTTTTAATTACAAGTTTATATGTTGTTAAAACAGCAGCAGTAGTATGAAGTATTAGCAATACAGACACCTTTAAAATAGGAATTAAAATAAACTTAAGAATGCATATACTAAGCTGTATACAGTGTATACCTATACCAAGTACTGTTCCACTTAGAGTCAATAGGCTGTAAATGTTTAAATTTTATGTATCCATATTGCTTATAGCCAGGATCTGTGAATCAGGACATCGCAAGTACACAGGGTTTATTGTATTAGCAAATTAATGTTATACATGTTGCACTAGTCTCTTAAATATTTTTATTCATTCATTTGTTAGTTTATTCTTGTATATTATTTAATAAAATATTACAGTATACACATCATTCTCAGCTTTATGACCCCAACACTGGAGACTACATCACTCAGCCAGAATATATGTATGAGTCCTACGATAACTACGATGAAGATTCCTCTGGTAGCCATGTCATGCAGCAACAAGGAACACCTCCCATCACAGAGGCTGGTATGGTGGGCCAAGCTGATGAATCTCCACCACCTGTACCAAAATCAAAGAAACCCAAGGTAGTGTTAATACATTGCAGATATTTTATTTACTCTGCAACTGCAAAATATCACTAACATTGCTCAATTAAAATTTTTGTTACATTTTTTAATAGCTTCTTTTAATTTAATTCTATTATGCTAGTTAACCCTTTCAGGGTCCGTGCTGTAGATCTACGCCATGAGCTCAGCTCACTCTGATAAGCTGTGAGCAGTAAATTTGGGCCTAGATATGAGAGAATACATCTCTGGTATGTGTGTACCACATAAAACAAATCCTGCAGCACACAGTGCATAATGAGAGAAAAAAACTGAGACCGTAATTTTCGATTAAAACTGACTTTGCAGTGTTTTTTCGTATGTTTTTTATAGTTGTACAGTGGACCCCCGGTTAACGATATTTCTTCACTCCAGAAGTATGTTCAGGTGCCAGTACTGACCGAATTTGTTCCCATAAGAAATATTGTGAAGTAGATTAGTCCATTTCAGACCCCCAAACTTACACGTACAAACGCACTTACATAAATACACTTACATAATTGGTCACATTCGGAGGTAATCGTTATGCGGGGGGTCCACTGTATTTGCAATTTCTTGGTCTCATTTGATAGAATGATTTTGATTGGTTTTAGTACTGGAAATGGCTTGAAACTGAGCTCAAAGTAGCAGAAATGTTAAATTTTTGCCGATGTTCAAGAGTAAACAAATGACCTCACAAGTCAAATACATGACAGCTGGTGGGTCTAATATACATTCACAAATGTGGTGATATTATTTATACAATTATTACAGTATTGCATAACAGTAAATCTTCTATTTTTTGATTTGAATAAAAATTCATATGAATAAAATTAAATCAAAATGGAATTCATTTGTAAAGCCTGAAAACGTACCTAATGAACAGAGGAAATGTTAGTTTAGTGCCAGGAATGCCAATATTGTTTATTCTGGACCCTATTTTGAAACTGGAATATTTTGAACTTTGCATTAAATTGGCCAAATTACCAATTTCCAGTCACTTTATTTTGTTGTTGAAACAGTTGACTTGGCGATTTCTTGTGCTCAGTCGATAGAATAGAAGTAATACTAGTAAAATAGCTAAGAATTTGGTTGACTGGAATACTGTAATTGCCCTGAAATGGGAGTCAAAGTCGGCAAAATCGCCGATGCGTAAATATCGCCTACACATCAAAATTCGCAAGAGCATAATTTTTGTCAATTTTCCATCAAATTTCGTACTTTTTGTTTTATTACCTTCAGAAAAAGAATCTCGACCATTTCATAAGAAAAAATAACAAAATTATTTTTGAAAATTCTTGGACCCTGGTGCACACTCTGAAATTTGGCTTCTGGACCCTGAAAGGGTTAAGATATGTCAAACTGACATGCTTTCTGTAATAATGAAAAACTATTGTATCCACTCATCTCACTGCTTTTTAAATTTTAAATATTTTTCGGCCTTTTTTTTATATATATTTTTTAATGGTAGTCTTAATTCTGTAATAAATTTTTTTTAAGGTTCATCATCATCCAGCATTGAAACTCAAGACTCCAATTGCTTACCAAAAGGACACTGATCTCAGTGCCATACCCATCATGCGAGAAGGAATGGGTAAGTCATATTCTTCTTCTTTCAACAAACCGGCCGTGTTTCACCTAGGCAGGGTGGCCCAAAAAGAATCTTTTTAACTTTAGTGATGTATACAGGAGAAGGAGTTACTAGCCACTTGCTCCCAGCATGTTAGTCACCTCTTATGACAAGCATGGCTTACAGAGGAAGACTTCTGTTCCACTTCCCCATGGAGATAAGTGGTAATTAACAAGAACAAGAACTAGTAAGAAAATAGAAGAAACCCCAGAGGGGTGTGTGTGTGTATACTATATATGCTTGTACATGCATGTGTAGTGTGACCTAAGTGTAAGTACAAGTAGCAGGATGTACCTGAAATCTTGCATGTTTACGAGACAGAAAAAAAGACCAGCAATCCTGCCATCGTGCGAAACAATTACAGGCTTCTGTTTTACACTCATTTGGCAGGATGGTAGTACCTCCCTGGGTGGTTGCTATCTACCAACCTACTACCTGGGAGTAAGTCATATTATAGATGGTTATTTTGTGTACATTGTGTACAAGTTGTCTCCACGTTGATACAATTAATACATGTAATATACAGTGGACCCTCGACCAGCGATGGCATCGATTAACGATAAATCTCACTAGCGATACATTTTATCGCAAAAATTTTGCCTCGATTAGCACTAAAAAACTCGACCAACACTATTCGTTCCGTCTGAGACGCGTCCATTTCTGGCCAGTGTTTACAAGCCAGCCAGCCACTGCGGTCGCTTCCAAGCATACAATCGGAACATTTCATATTATCACAGCCTTTTTAGTGATTGCACCTGCAAAATAAGTCACCATGGGCCCCAAGAAAGCTTCTAGTGCCAACCCTACAGCAAAAAGGGTGAGAATTACTATGGATATGAAGAAAGAGATCATTGCTAAGTATGAAAGTGGAGTACATGTCTCTCGAGCTGGCCAGGCTGTACACGAAACCCCAATCAACCATTGCTACTATTGTGGCCAAGAAAACGGAAATCAAGGATGTCATGTAGGGGGGCTTGGAATGTATCGGATATAAGTGGGGAATATGGGAGTAAGGGATTATGTAGGCAGGGGAGAGGCTGGCGCGGTGTTAGGAGTGAGATGATTAGCGGAGGTAGGTAGGTAATGACAGGTCAGTGGTGACCACCACGACATTCTCATTAACTCTACACTACTCACTAACATATGCCTCGCCCACTCTTCACTCATATAAACATAATAAAATATGAGAAATAGGAATAGCTAATAACGGGGACAGTGAATATTACTATTCTACTCAAACACAGTTTATTATTAAGTCCTTGTACAATAATATATTTGGGAACAGGAGTACATTGGGGTTTAGATAAATGGGGTGGTACACATAAGCAGTGAGACAGGGAATACAATTAGCTTGGCGAAACATAATATTACTTACAATATAGTAAAGAGGACAGTTCACTACAGGAACTAAGCCACAGGTCCCAAGACCTACACAGCACGAGTACTGCCCCAAGCCAGTACTCTGCCCAATGCCTTCAACAGTCTCCTCCAGAGACTTCAGTAGCCTTCTCCCGAGCCCTGCACCCCAGCAGCAGCTCCGCTCGAATCTCATGATCATGCTCTTCCTTGGGCTTTTATGGTGGTCCAAGCACCCTCCACAACCACGTGTACGACCTGACGCCTAGGTCTGAGGCGTCAAGAACAAAAGACCTCAGACGTGGGCGTGGCTACAGACGTTTGCCAAGGAAAGGTGTGACCATATAATTGGTTAAATTAGGTCTCCCCAGAGACCTCACAAGCCCAGCTGGACTACATCACATCCCCCTTTCTCCCCCAGTTTAAAATATCTGAGAACTAGGACAATTTGTCCTAGTTATTAGACTATTTTAATCCTAACCCCTTAAATCTATTACAATACAAAGACAAAATTATACATAATACAAAATTATTCAATTGCATATATTTCCCTCAACCTCCTCAACTACCACAAGGCAGCATAATCAGTATGCCTGGCAGTTGGCCAGCATAATAGTCGCTCTCTGGTGCAAAGCCTCCTTACCCGTCATTTCTCCTTAAACCTAAATATCGGGCTCCAGTGCCTTCCCTACTTCTACTAGAAATGCACTAGCCAATGCTAGTCACCCTCGCACGTTAACCATTGGGCCAAACCTCTCTAGGCTTCTATGGCTGGAAAACTGCTCCAACGGGTTGCATTCTTTCAAGTAACTGCAACTGGACCACTTCACGACCACCAAGGTCGCATTTTCGGCACACTTCACATGCACACTACAACATCTGAAAATCGAGACAGGGCAGGCATCGCAGCTAAGACCCTCCATTATCCTATGCCACTACTAGGATTCACTGGCCTCATAAAACAAGGCGGCCATAATCACTGGACCGTTTTCAAGGTCACCTTATTCCACACAGGTAACACTAACACTTCTGGCAAGTCAAAGTAGGCTGGGGACATCTCACACTCTTAATTGTCTCTCATGGCTGGCAGGGTATCCCCGCATACCGGTCGTACAGGTCGACCAGCAAGGCAGGATACACCTCCATACCGCCCTTGAAAGCAGGCTGGTCCCAACAGCTGGAGTCCATCTCCGCGGCTCACTTCCTTCCCCATCTCCGAGGATGGCAACTCCTTCATAGTAGATTCTCCTGTCCTGGCACACCAGCCAGAATCCCTCACACACCACTGCAGCATCACCGCCATCTCCTCCTCTTGAGCTAGGCAGCATCGCAGCATCACAGCACGGCCGTATCACAGCAGAATACAGCACGGCCACAGCATCGCAGCACGGTCCCAGCATCACAGCACGGCCACAGCATCTCAGCATCACCGCACGACCGCAGCATCTCAACAACACAGCACGGCCGCATCACAGCCCGGCCACAGCATAGCAGACAGCATCACAGCACAGCCACAGCATAGCAGACAGCATCACAGCAGCCGACATCAGCAGTAGCAGGCTATGGTCAGTTGCTCGAGGTGAGGTGAGGTCACTTCAGGTCATCAACAGCAGGTGCGGTCACCCATCCCTGGCAACTGCGGGTAACTGGCGGTCCGCAGGTAATGGTCACAGAGGCTGGGTGACGCAGACAGACACCCACTACACTGGATGACAGACCAGGGCAGCAATACATCTACTGGGGCACATCAGCTGGGTGACTGGGCATATCAGCTGGGTGACTGGGCACATCAGGTGGACAGCAATCATAGGCAACTCTTCAATGGGTGACAGTTGTGGGCTAGTCTTCAAAGGCGGGCTGGGTGACTTCTCATTCCTCTGTAAATATTCAATTTCGGCCAGTAATTGCTTCCCTCAAAAGTCTCACCCAAATACTGATATTCTCCACCATTTATCTCAAACCAACAACCAACTCCACCAAATATAATAATACAACCAAACAATTATTCAGACCCACCGTCAAAAAAGGACAGTTAAGGTTACTAGGATTAAAATATCATACAGATATTCACTTTAGATTTTACACACACAAGAAAAAAAAGTGGTAGCAAATAGTAGCATAACAAGTATAACCGAGCAGTCAAAAATAAGGCACATGGGACTGGTTCCTACTATAAAAATAATAAGAACCACCACCGCTTAGACACCATGTCATGTAGGGGGGCTTGGTGGTGTATCGGATATAAGTGGGGAATATGGGAGTAAGGGATTATGTAGGCAGGGGAGAGGCTGGTGCGGTGTTAGGAGTGAGATGATTAGCGGAGGTAGGTAGGTAATGACAGGTCAGTGGTGACCATATAATTGGTTAAATTAGGTCTCCCCAGAGACCTCACAAGCCCAGCTGGACTACATCACAGGAAGCTGTTCTTGCCAAAGGTGCAACTATGTTTTCGAAACTGAGATCGCAAGTGATAGAAGATGTTGAGAGACTGTTATTGGTATGGATAAACGAAAAACAGATAGCAGGAGATAGCATCTCTCAAGCGATCATATGTGAAAAGGCTAGGAAGTTGCATGACGATTTAATTAGAAAAATGCCAGCATCTAGTGGTGATGTGAGTGAATTTAAGGCCAGCAAAGGTTGGTTTGAGAGATTTAAGAATCGTAGTGGCATACATAGTGTGATAAGGCATTGTGAGGCTGCCAGTTTGGACCAAAAAGCAGCTGAAAAATATGTGCAGGAATTCAAGGAGTACATAGACAGTGAAGGACTGAAACCTGAACAAGTGTTTAATGGTGACACTGACAATGTTGTGAAACACTTTAGGAATGTCATAAAGGAACGGGAGGTACAGGCCTCTATGGGCAGATATGTTGTGCGAACAGAGGTCCAGTGACTCTCAAGCTGGTCCTAGTGGCATTAAAAGAAGAAGGGAAGTAACCCCAAAAAAGGACTTGCCACCTCAAGTCCTAATGGAAGGGGATTCCCCTTCTAAACACTAAGACCATCAACACATTCCCCTCTTCCCATCCCATCAATCATCACCAGATCTTCAATAAAGGTAAGTGTCATGTAACTGTGCATGTCTTCTTCAGTTTGTGTGTATTAAAATTAATATTTCATGTGTTAAAATTTTTTTTTTCAATACTTTTGGGTGTCTTGCACGGATTAATTTGATTTCCATTATTTCTTATGGGGAAAATTAACTTGACTAACGATTATTCTGACTAACGATGAGCTCTCAGGAACGGATTAATAGCGTTAGTCGAGGGTCCACTGTACTACATTTAATTAAAGCTCCCCAGAGCGATAAAATATATGTACAGTACATTCAGTAATTTTTTTTTTTTTCAACAAGTTGGCCGTTTCCCACCGAGGCAGGGTAATTACCTTAAAATATTTATAGTCTTAATGTAGGGTGAGAGGTGAGTTTTATTTGTAGGAAGTCAGGTTTGGGAAGTATGGGCAGCCAGCCAGGGAAGCCGTCCCACCCCACTGACACGTAATATATGTACGATGATATTTAACGCTTTCAGGGTCTACAGGCCCTCTCCCAGACTTGTTCTCAGGGTCGAAAAATTTTCAAAAAAAAAAAATTTTTTTTTTCT